AAAATATACGAAAAAAATGAAAAATAAATATTTTAAGGGTATAATAGTCTTTTCAAGTTGAAGAGAGACCAAAACCACAAATAAACTAGCTTAAATGACCACCAATCCAAAAAAGTTGTAGCTTGAATCAAATCTAAGAAAAAATGTGTGCCACATAATGTTTTAAAAATCGGCTCTTTAATTGAACCGGTATGGTGAACGGTTCTCGGTTCAACCAGTTTCTATAGTTTTTATATTTTTTTTTCCTATTTTCCTACACACACATAGACATCTACGAGTTTAAACATTAAAAAATACATATAAATACAAGTTGTAGATAAATCTAAATACATTAAAAAACACATAATCATAAGTTTACATCAATTCACATCCATCAAAAAGAAAATAAAGTATAATACGAAAACAAAATATAGTATTAGATGAATACAAACACATTAAAAAACTTCATAACATTTACCATATGTTTTTATTTAAAGAAATCTAAATAAATATGAAAAAAAACATCAAAGTTTGTCATACAAAATGATTCATTTCCATGTTTTTTTTATTTAAAATAACTAGTTCCACCGATTTAATTTAACCGGTTCAACAGGGTTTTAGTAAAAATCGGTCGGTTCATTCCGATTCAGAAATAGACATAAAATCGGACGAAATAAACTTTTTTTTTTCTCTTGTTCCTGGTCAAACCTATTCAAACCGATTTTTAAAATATTGATATCACATCACCATTTTTTTACTTTTGTCTAATATATATTATTCATTTAAACAAACAAGTGATGCAACAAATGGAATTAGGATTAGTGATGGATCAATGCCATTTTAATGTGAAAATGAGACACGGAGTAGAGATGCCCTAAGGCCTAAGCTGACAAGCAAATCCCAAACACCCTAAATAGCAACTCCTTTACATCTCCATCCCAGTAAACCTCTGCTAAACCCTAGTGCCACGATGAGATTTAGCTGTCACCTCTCAAGCTAACTACAAATTGGAGCGTTATCGACGCCAATTTCTAACACTTCATTTCTCAATCTATGCTTGATATAGGTAATCCTTATCTCTTAATGTGCGAATATTCTGAATAATATTTGACTTTTGTATGTCACATGTGATTTTTTGACCTCAAATTTGTTAAAACCTATTTTCCTGTTCTTAGAAAATTAGCAATCGCTTTGAATTTTTTTATTAGGAACATAACATTTTGAAGATAATTTACCGATTAAATCTCTGTATAAGCAGTGTCTATTGTTTTTGGGAGAAAGGGAGCGTTCCCTATGACAAATCCTACAAAATTAGGGCAAATTGGTACTACTGATAAAATGAATTAACAAACTCAAACTATGCCTTTATATAGAAAGAAAAACATTTGGGTATTTTTACATCACCTCTCTTGTGTGATCTTATTCTTTCTAAAACAAGAGAAGTTGGTGAGCTGAGTGGTAAATTGTTGGTTTTCATGTATATATTCAAAAAATGAATTCAAATACCTCTCGATTTTGTTAATTTACATCTTATGATGCACTGTTATAATGTTAGTTATATAGTTTTAGGAGGTAAATGATGTTTAAAAGTATTTAATTGTCTGTGATTCATTTTTTCATATTCACTGTATCAGAACCTCACGACCCAAGGCTTTCTCGTGAGGCTTAAAATCAGTGATATAACAAAATTTAGAGCTCTCATAAGTCATAACACAACATCTTAAAGACATAAATTGGCTTTCAAGATATGTAGAAAGGGAATCGCTCAAACAATATTAGTTTAAAATCATGCATTGCATATTTGATATTTGATCCCTAAAAACTAAAAGATGATCAAGCATAGATAATCCCTTTTATGCCCTTTGAAGTTTACCAAATTGCATGATATACGATTGTCAATAATTTATAGTTTTCACCAGGATCCCAAATAAAGAGGAATGTCAATAATTACACAATCCAAACGAATTTCCTCCAAAGTATTGAATTTGAAGAGCAACAAGAATATTCATTTGTATTCTAGTGTCACTACAAATGCTTCCAAAGAGTCCATAATCTCATCTTCTTCTTCTATCCTGAGTGATCAGTCCACATCATCATCAACTCCACCTGAAACTGCAGCAGCAGCCACCACAGGTGGTGGTGGACAAGGACAACCATGGAGTTTTCTCAAGTTTTCTTTGGTTGCAGCGGTTACTGGAGGTGTTGCCACTGCTGGTTATGCCACCTATGGTGAGTGTAGTGGTAAATGTTATATTACCTTATTACCCTTCCTCTGTTTTCTTTATTTTTATATTCTTAAATGGAAGGAGAAATATATAGAAGTGACTCAATATTAATATTAATATCAATAACAAATTAACAATTGCAATGCTTTGTATCTCCTTTTGCAGCATATAGTTTAGAAGAAGTTTATGAGAAGACAAAGGGTTTGCGTACAATGGAAAAAGTTTCTATAGGTGATGATTTGTCTTCATTTCAGGTGAGTATGAGTTATCTGACTTAGATGTCTGATTGTCTGTTATGAACTTTCCCTTTTTTCTCTTTGATAACAGTAAACTTAAGAGACAAAATGACAAAAATACCCTTGTGAAATGATGAGACCGATAACAGACATCCTTATTTTCTATTGGAGTGTGAATTACATATCTACTTGTTATAATTGCAGAAATTTCAAACCATGCTAAAATCAACTGCAATGACAGGTTCATTCTTAGTGCTTTCTCATATTTATCTATTCTTTTTACTTTTTTGTTTAATTATTATTTATATATTTCATCTTTTCTATTTTCTTGATGTTTTCAGTTCCTGCTAAATTAGTTGAGCTTTATTTGGAGATGCGTGAATCTACAGAAGAACATGTTCGAGTGTGTATATATAACATAATATAATATAATATAAACCTCTTTCCTCAATCATATATTTTTCTTTTTTTTTTTTTTTTTTTTTTTGCTTAAAAATCTTGTTGTTTCTTAGGGTTTTACAGAACCCTTATCAGAGAAGCTCCTTCCAGATTTGCATCCACAAGAGCAACATGTATTCACATTGGTTTTGGACCTCAATGAAACTTTACTCTATTCTGATTGGAAGGTATATAACTATATATTATAATTATTATATAAAATTTTCCATCTCTTCTTTTTCAATTTAATCTTATCTCCAATTTTTATCCACTTAATAATTACTAACATTTTATTCTATAATGTTTATGATAAAAGCGTGAGAGAGGTTGGAGAACATTTAAAAGACCAGGAATCGATGACTTTTTAGAACAGCTAGCCCAATTTTATGAAATTATAATCTATTCCGATCAGCAGTCCATGGTAAATTACTTTGTTACCCTTCCTCTATTTTCTTTATTTTAATATTGTTAAGACCTTATTTTGTTATCGCAGTATGTTGATCCTGTTGTTGATAGATTAGATGGAAACCACTGCATAAGATACAGACTATCAAGGGCTGCAACAAGATATCAAGATGGGAAGCACTATAGAGTATGTTATTTAAAATTTAAATAAAATCTTTTATTAAATATAATCATAGTAAACATTTTTTTTTTGTAGGATTTGTCAAAACTTAATAGAGATCCTTCAAGAATTTTGTATGTGAGTGGTAATGCTGTTGAGAGTTGCCTTCAACCAGAAAACTGTGTTCCAGTAAAACCATGGAAATGTGAATCTGATGACACTGCATTAGTGGATCTTATTCCATTTCTTGAATGTAAACACTAATTTTTATTTTTTTTTAAATTATATTATTGGATTAAAAGGGATTTATGGGTACCTTATTTTTATTAACTGCAGATGTTGCACGAAATAGGCCTGGTGATATTCGACATGTTCTTGCTTCATACAATGGAAATGATATAGCTAAAGAGTTCATTGAACGTTCTAAAGAATATCAGAGGTAAAAATTTTAAAAATTAAAAAAATTAAAAATTCACGCTTTGTTTTGTAATTTTTGGCAAGATACAAAAAAGCATAATGTGATTTCACCATTTTATTGATTAATTTAGCATCTTAATTGTTTCCACTATCATTAAAATTATTGATTGGTTGCATTTGTTATGGTCAGAAATGAAGGGTATTTTAGACATTTGACATATTTGTTGGGGTGATGATTCAGGAGAATGCAGGAGCAGAAGCAACCAGGTCGACTGTGGAGACGCTGAGTAAAATATGGAAGTGGATTTTAGATTGAGAATGATTTTTTATTCCCATTTGTAACAATATCATTCATGTAAGAATAAAACGACTTTTATGTTTTGAGACAAAATTGCAAAAATGGTCCCTGTGGTTTGTTAATTTCTGTGGGAAAGGTCCAAAAAAAAGTTTATTAGCAAAAAAGGTCCCTATTTGATGGTTTTGTTGCGGTTTTGGTCCCAACCTCGTTAAGTTTAACAGCATGACTGTTAACTTTTGGCAAATGACGGATTTACCCCTGCGACCATTTCTGCAGTTTTATCTTTTTACCAAACTATAAGGACCAATTACGCAATTTTTCTTTTTCATATT